AGCAGTTAAAAGCAGAGTTAGGTTTACACTTAACCACAGGAAGCCCAATATTCATCAGGGCTACATTTATGACAGGCACTTCTGTGCAAATAAAAGATGTTTATCCCCCCTCCCCCTACGGGGGAACGGATGTACACAGGCTAAGCTCATGCGATAATTTCGGAAAGTGCATTCTTCGGTGTCAAATCATAAAGTTGTTAAAGTGCGCATTTCAAACGTAAATACACGCAGCTTACTTACAGGACGATCGTGAAAGCTCTGAAACTCTTTCACCATCAATTCCTTCACCATTTCGAGGTCTCCAATGACAAGAGCAGGTTTTCTACTGATAAGAAACGTTGTAAAAAGACGGCCATACTTCTTGTAATAGTCATCAAACTGTAGGTGCATTTKTCCCTTATAACGGAACAAATCCAAGGAGTTACCAACAAACGGYARTGGTGGTGGCCCTGGAAGGTCTCCGACTTGMGCAACGATGGMGGATCGCCTGTACGGAGCGATTCCCCAGTAACAAAACAGAATAACGAGGCATATTACTAAAGTGCCAACCCAATGGGTCGATAAWAAAGAGAGAACTGAGCTCAATACTTCCATTTTGAGAGTAKAAAACAAGACGCTATCTCGAAAAGCACTGTGTTTATATACACATATAGCTTKATGTCATGTTTCTAAATATATTTGCCTGGCTGCTAAGCTTCCGGTGTGATGTAATCGGTCACGATATCTTATGGCTTTCGTTACATGGGCCGTGACAATAAGATAATCAATAATATTTTTTCCGAAATGTTACTATTTGTCTACTTCTGTCCCACAACAATAAATATCAACATGTATCAAGGACAATCAAGGCAATGTATGAAAAAAATTACAGTTTTATTTTTCAATCATTCTATATTTAATTAATTTTTTTTGAATATATTTCCAAGGGTCATTCGTCCGGAATGCCTCCTTCTAAGCACTAATTTTTTTTTACCCCCTTAACAGTGCCTGTTTTATTTTTCTGTCCCCCCCTAAATTCCACCGACCCCCCTCCCTGATAAACAATGAACGGTGCCTAATTTGCAGTCCCCCAGTATTTTCGAAAATTTAATTTTGTTTCATGTCAAAAACTCGCCGCATCATCCTATAATGTAATTCATTAACAGTTATATTTACTGCAAAATGAAGGCTTGATGAATAAAACTCCATTTCTTGACCACAATTTATTAATCTTCTTAACCAACCCCCCCCCCCCCCCCCCCCCCCCCCAGTGCCAAAAACGCTCCGGCGCTCAGTGCGGTATTAACAATATAGTATGACAGTAGAAGTGCTAACAACTTTTTAGAGCAAATATTTTTCCTAACACTAACTAAAAACATACTTACACATTCACTCCATGTTGATTTTGCACACGTCTGCGGACCTAATCCTTCTTGCCAGTTGCAGTATGGCAACAGTTTTACTCTCTGTCATAACACAGCTAACACTRAATTATCATAGGAAAATGAAGTTGTTGGGGGCTTCACTTCAACTTTTTTCCTTCTCATATTAAGTATGCTTCATTGATTTTTTTTCTTAAAGACTCACGTTTGCATCTCAATATATCTTTTAATTTAAAATGTGTTGCGTTTGTCCCCTGCTAATGATACTCCCCTATGCTAATGCAGTAACAGTCAGCAATGAGAATTCAACAGACACCAGTTCGCCCCATGACAGGAATCCGGGATCCAACAAAAATTTTGGCTCTGGAATGCGGAATCTAGGATGTTTAGCCGTTCCGGTGAATCCAGTATGGTGGAATCCGAGTCTATGTTGCGAAATCTTTCATGGAATCCGGATTCGAAGATCTTGGAATCCGGATTGGTAACGCTCCGGATCCCTTGTCATGGCGAGCCGGTGCTGTTTACTAACACGAACCAACATATGCCTATTAAACACTATACACTCAAGACATATCATCAGGGCTTGCTATACTTCTATAATTCTATGCTACAAATGTCTGATTTCGACGTTTTCTTTTTCGGTAGAGTGATCGCACTTAATCCGTGCAACTGTACAAACTAAATAGTGCGTTGTATTTAGCGAATCGTGCATGCGGTTTGCAAGCTAAATTGAATTGATGCAAATGACGCATTCAATACCATCTTGCTTCAGGTCCACTTTTAGTACAAATTAGTACTACTTAGATTTTGTACAGTTGCACAGATTAAGTGCGTTTACTCTAGAGGATTGGTGCGTTTAAAGTTTGGATGTTTTTCTAGTGGGTCTCATCTAGAGGACCATGGGGGTTAGGGTTAGGGTTACGCCCTCGTTTGATTTCCGGGACTACATGTGAGTTTTTGTGTATTTACGTTTGTAGAATCAGTCTCTCTTGCTCCGCGGCTTTTTTCTCCCAGGTACGCTTGTTTTGACTTCCAATAAGCAATAAATATTGTCATACAATGCGTGCTAGCCGGAGTTGTCGGACCAACTGGAGAGTTAGGTTAGGAATTTTTTTGTGTTTGATTTCAGGAGGTATCATCAAAAGATATAAATAGCCGGCAGAACAACTATCTTGATCGCAGTCTTCGATGTTATGTATTGTATAACTGCCTTGTATTTGCATTGCGGTTTTTTCAGTGAAGTTAAACATTTGCTGGTTTTCAAACAACATTTTATTTTTACTTTGTCAGACCTTCATATCAAAAAAAGACTCGCTGTTCATCATATCTCTATTTAACTAAATAAATAAAAATAGTTCGCACTTTTTTAAACTTTGTCTTAATGTCTACTCTTGATGCGAAGTTGTATTCCGTCTTTCCCACAACCTAAGACTTTCTTCATTTTGACTTCAAGAGGAACTTTTGTCTCCGGGCCAACCACCAAGCTGAACTGTTTCAGAATCCTTGCTAAAGACATCTTCATCTGAAATATCGCGAACCTCATCCCGATACAGTTACGAGGCCCATGACCAAACGGCATGTAAGCGTAGGGATCACGTGACTGCTTTGCTTCGGCACTGAAGTGTTCTGGGTCAAACTTGTCGGGATTGTCGTAATACTCTGGATCGCGTTGGATGCTGTAGACTGGGACGAATATACTTGTTCCTTTTTTGATAGGAAAGCCTTTTATGGTGCAGTCTTTGGTAGCAACTCGAGCAAGAATGAAACCTGAAAAAGATAGATGTAAAGTCAAAAAGATCACTTCACAACTCTGATTTTTTCATAGTTCTCGAGATTTTCTACGCCTTTTCTT